ACCCCAGACATCGGAAGAACCCATGTTAGATTTGGGTGTGTAGGTTGGATTTGGAGGTCGGCTTAAGGATCCTACAGGCAATATTTTACAGTCTAAAATGAGGGAGGGGGGCCTTCAAACATGGGGGACTTTGAAGTCTTGTGGACTTCAACTCCCAGAATCCCCCAGCAGGCAAGGGTTTCCTATATTTAAAAAAAAAAAAAATTCAATCCTGGCTCAGCTGCATTGCAACCATTCTGGATCGCGGCGTCTTGGAATGTTTTGGACATGTTTTTTAGCGCGGAAGAGAGTTGCGAGGTGGCACACGCCGCAGAGGGCAGGGCTGTTGCCCAAAAAAATGCCCCCCTCCCATGTAATGGCATCATTTGACGGAAAGGTCAGGGACAGATACCCCCTCCCCGTTAATTCTTCTAGGCCAGGGATCTCCAAACATGGCAACTTTTTTAAGACTTTAAGGACTTCAACTCCCAGAATTCCCTGGCGGAAACCCCCCTCCCACAACTACCCCTCTCCCACTGGCTTCCTTAGCCCCCTAACTGGCCTGGGCACTGGCTTTCCCCCTCCCCTCTCCACCCACTCACTCTGCCCCCCTGGTTCCTGCCTGCCCAGGGGAAGGGGCACCCCGAGGCATGTAGACCACCCCTGCTTGGCAAAAAAAAAGGGTGCCCCTTCCTCTCCTGTGCCTAGCTGGCAGCCTCTCTTCCTCCCTCTCAAGCTTCCTGCCTAAAACTGGACCCCCAATTTTCTTAGCCCCCTAACTCTGCTCTCTGGCCAGCCTTGTTGAGGTCGGTGGGCGGGGGGCTGTCACCTCAAAGCCTTGGGCTGGGGGAGCTGCTCAACCCCCTCCCCCAATCTATTTGCTGGGGACCCCCTCGGAAGGCAGGCAGGGGGTGGGCACCACAGCTAGAAACAGTTCCCCAATAGCTTTATTTAATTTCCTAGCGGTGTGGTGGTGGTAATCCTCGCATCCCTAACCCTAAACACCCCCCCTCCCACTTCCTTGGGGAGGGGGTCAGAAGTGTGGGGTGGGTTAGAAGCCAGGAAGTTGGCCAGCACAGAACACTGTAAAGGGAGGGGGGGCTTCGTTCATTCCCCCTTTGAGGGGGGGCAGTCTGCCCTCTCCCCCTGATCCGTGTGCTCGCCCTCTCCCCACCCCTACCGGGGAGAGGGGAGAATTGGGCCCTGTCTGTCTCTTCCCTGGCAGGACGAGGCTGTGCTTCCCGAAAAAAGCTGTGTTGAGCTGCCAACAACTTACACAACATCTGCAAGCAAGAGCGTTTTCAAGGGGAGGGCCGAGGGTGAGGACTTCCCATTTCTCGCCCTTAATTGGCAAGGAGCCCTTCGGGAATCTGCTGTACGGCTCGAAGACAAAAGAGCTGATTTTGCCCGAAGGGAAAAAAAAAAGAGCTTATTTTTGCGGCTCTCCATCTGGATGTCTCCCAGCTGCTTCCAGCAACGAAGTAGCTGGAGGTTTTTTGTTTTTTTTCAGAGAGAGAGGGTTCAAAAAAACGGAAGGCCCTTTGGAGGTCATCTAGTCCAGCCCCGCCCCAAAGCCAGGCAGATCAGGACTACCCCCCTTTTCCCTGTGTTTTTGTGGCGTGGTTAAGCCGTGGATGGGGAATTTGGGGGAACTAAAAAAAATAAATAAACCCACTTCACAACAGTTCGTTTAGCGACCGTTCAGTCGCAAGGGACTTACGACCGTTTTTCACACTTACGGCCGTCGCAGCATTCCCCCCAGGAACCAACATTTGGGTGTTGTGGGAGCTTCATCCCTGGAGGCTTTCAAGAAGAGACTGCCATTGGTCAGTAATGGTGTAAGGTGGGGGGGTTGGACTAGATGACCTTCAAGGTCCCTTCCAACTCTGTTAATCTGTAAAAACTGTGGGGATTCCCTCACGAATTTGTGGGCGCTTCAACACTGGAAGCTTTCAAGAAGAGACTAGACTGTCAGAAATGGTCTCCGGGTTGGGCAGGCGGGTTGGGCTAGATGACCTCCATGTGTTTTTTCCAACTCTATGCTTAGCAACTAATTCATATTTATGACAGCAGGAGTATCCCGGGAAGGAAGGGGGGGGGGGATGTCACGCGATCCCCTTTTGCGACTGGCTGGACAAACAGCGTCCACGGGGGCGGGGGGGAGAAGCCTGATCCGCTCAGCGTCCACGTTACCCACTTAACGACCGCGGCACTTCGCTGAACGACCGTGGCGAGAAAGGTGGTCGAACGGGGGGGAACCTCGTCTCGCTTAGCCGCAGAAATGTTGGTCGTAAGTCGGGGATCCCGGAATGGACCTAGCGGGGGAAGTTCGTACCCTTCCCCAAACAAGGAGGGGGGCAAAGTCTCTGTCTTGCTGGGGGGGGGGGGGCCTGGAACCCTGGAAAGTTTATATCAACACTGCCAGTAAACGTGGAATTTGACCAGAGCCAGTCCCTCCCCCCTGTCGAAATCCCTGCACCATTCCTGACCATGTTCCCAGCGGCTGCTGCCTGGCTGGTTTTCCTGGTGGCCCCCGGCCCCCACTGGGCCGCGGGGGACCCGATCCAGGAGACAGAGGAGGGGGACCATTTGAAGGTAAGTCCCCCTTCCTGTTTGATGCCTGCAGAGCTCCGAATATCCAGAATTCCAGAGTGGGGACGGGATCCCGGAGGTCTTCTAGTCCAACCCCNGGGCTGTCTCTCCTTTGAGTATCCTTCCTCCTCTCTGCTGTTGGCTTATCCTCCCTCGGCGGGCCCTCCTCCCTTCCTCGCCCCTCTGCTGTTGGGGGGGGGGTTCCTCTCTGCAGACCCTCTCCTCTACTGTTGGGATGTGTGCAGACCCCTCCCCTTCCTCTCCACCCTGCTGTTGGGGTGTGTGTGTGCAGATCCTCTTCCTCTGCTGTGGGGGTGTCCCCCCTGCAGACCTCCTTCCTCTAACATTCGAGGGTCTGTCGGCTCATCCCCTTCTTCTCTATCCTGCTGTTGGGGGTGGTGTCTGCAGACCGCTCCCCCCCCCTGGTATTGGGGTATCCTTCCTCTGCAGACCCTCTCCCCCCCCCCTCTCTCCCGTTATTGGGGTATCCTTCCTCTGCCGATCCCCTCTCCCGTTCTTCTGTTCCCCCCTGCTCTCCTTTCGGGCCCAGCCCATGCTCTGCTCTCCTCCACTTCGCCGCGCAGCAGCTGGCGGAGCTGAGCTGCGTGCCTCTGTGTGTGTGTGTGTGTGTGTTGAGGGTGGGGGGGGGTGGGATTTGCTGTGCCTGCGATTTGTTTTCCAACTGGCTGAATGCGATGAATCACATTTTCCTTTTGGGCAGAAGGAAGGCAGCCATGGAAAAGGGAGGTGGGGTTTGGGTGGGGGGAGTAAGACTTGCCAAGCCAGAGAGGGAAGGAAGGACTCTATTTTTTTTTTTCATTTGGGGGGGGGGGAGGAAGTCCCAGCTCAGAAAGATGAAAGTAGCGACCAAGTTGCGTCATACCACGTCGTCCCCCTCTCCCAGCACACGCACAGAGCGGAACAGCGAAGAAGAGGGGGGGGGGTGTTAATAGATTTGCCCCCTCTGGTTCCCAGCAGCAAAAAAAACTCAACCCCCCCCCTTCCCAACACCCATCTCCTACCCCCCCCACCCCAGTATAAACGACCAAGGATCAGCAATAGGTAATTTCAGCTATACATGTAATAATGTTCTCTCTCTCTCTCTTTTTTTTTTAAGTAGTGTTACGTTCTGTTTTTCAAAATGGGTGGCCTAGTTTCGAAGGATCCTAACGGGGGCAGATCTCCCCCCCCCCCCGGTGGAAACCATGGAGGAAAAGTCTGCAAGATGTGGTGGTGGTGGAGGGGGGGGGGAAGGCTGGAATTGTGGGTCCCAGGAGAAAAAAAGAAGGCCGGATACCGAGGGTTTGTCGTGGACCGCACACAAAAAACTCAGCAGCGCAGAACCCCTGTCCCCCGTCCCCGAGACTCCAATCTCCCCCCAAAATGAGCACCCCCTTTTTTCCCCTTCCCTTGCTGGCCCCTCCCCTCAACCCCACCCCCACCCCTAAATATTCCACCTCTATTACATTCCAGGAAAAGAAAACACCGCACAATTTGGCAGAAATGGGGAAAAACAACAACACAAAAATGGNGTCCCACAGAAAAGGAGGAATGATGGGATCTTTAATATAGAGAGTGGGGAAGAGAGAGAAAAAGAGAAAGGGAGAAAAGAAGAGAAAGGGAGAGAGGGAAAAAAGAAAGAAAGAGAATGGGAAGGAGGGAGAGAAAATGAAAAGGGGAGGGAATGAAAGAGAGAGAAAGGGGAGAGAGAGAGAGAGAAAGGGGGAGAGCCCAACAGAAAAGGAGGGAGGATAGCATCTTTAATACACAGAGAGAGTGGGGGAAGAGAGAGAGAGAGAAAATGAGAGAAAGGGAGGGAGGAAGGGAAAGAAAGAGAAAATGGGATGGAGTGAAAGAGAGAGGGGGGGAGAGAGAAAGGAAAAAGCACCAGAGAAAAGGAGGGATGATGGGATATTTAATACACAGAGAGAGAGAGAGAGAAAGGAAAAGAGGGGAAGAGAGAGAAAAAGAGAGAGAAAATGAGAAAAGGGAGAGAGAGATAAAAAGAAAGAAAGAGAAAGGGAGGGAGGGAGAGAAAGAGAAAGAAAAACTGAAAAAGAACGATAGAGAAAAAGAAAAAGAACGATAAAGAGAAGAGGAGAGAAAGACAGAAAAAAGAAGCGAGAAAAGAAAAAGAGAGATAGAGAGAGACAGAGACGGAAAGAGAGAAAAAGAAAAAAGAAAGATGGAAAGAGACAGAGAGAAATGGAAAGGAAAAGTGAAAAAGAATGATAGAGAAAACAGAGAAAAATAAAGAGAGAAAAGAGATGGAGAGAAAGACAAAAAAAGGGAGTGGGAAAAGAAAAAGAGAGAGAGACAGAAAGAAAGACAAAGTGAAAAGGAATGACAAAGAGAAAAAGAAAGATAGAGAAAATAGAAGGAGAGAAAGACAGAAAAAGAGTGGGAATAGAAAAAGAGAGACAGAAAGGGAGAAAAAGAGACAGATAGAGAGAAAAAGAAAGATGGGGAGAGACAGAGAGATGGGAAGGAAAAGTGAAAAAGAATGATAGAGAAAAAGAGAAAAAGAAAGAGANCCTGAGCCGGTGAGATTTGAACCGCTGACCTGCTGATCTAGCAGTAGCCTGCAGTGCTGCATTTAACCACTGCGCCACCTTGGCTCTTGGATAAATCCAGAATGTATTCTTTCAATTCTTTATATGGAAAAATAAATATGCAAAAGTGATAAAAGAGGAAGAACAACAACTATGTGATTGTATACTTGTAACTATATATATATATATAAGAGAATAAAAATTAAAAACTTATTAAAAAAATAAATAAAAACAGGGGAGGCCCAGAAGCACAGGGAGAGGGGCTCTACCTGAGCCCCCATATATTCCTGTCTGAAAAAAAGCTCGGCTTGATTCTAGAAGCAGACATGCCGTTTGTCTGAAATGATACAGGGTCTCCTGTTTAAGCGGGGGCGGGGTGGACTAGATGACCTCCAAGGTCCCTTCCAACTCCAGTCTTCCGTTAGTGGAAGGGCTTGCTTCCATTCCATTAAATTCTGGGTGCTTCCCTCACGAGTTTTTTTTTTTTTTAAGAAGAGAGCTATTTGTCGGAAATGATACAGCATTCTCCTGTTTGAGCAGGGGGTGGACTAGATGACCTCCAAGGTCCCTTCCAACTCCCTTCTCTTGTTAGTGGAACAGCTTGCCCCCCCCCCCGGAAGTTGTAGGTGCTCCCCCTTTTTTAAAGAAGAGACCGGGCGGCCATTGGTCCGAAACAATACAGGGTCTCCTGTTTGAGCAGGGGGGGTTGGACTAGATGACCTCTGGTGTCCCCCTTCCAACTCTTTGCTATTCTGCTCCGCCTTAAACCCGGCCGGCATCGAAGCAGCTTGACCGGTTGAATTTCTCTCTGGGTGAAGCTCGGGGTCCCGCAGACACGGCTGACACCCCCCCCCCGGGCCTTTTGGGAGTGGGGGTGATGGGGAGGTCATCAAGTCGCTCCCCGACGCCTGGGGACCCTCGGGTGGAAAGTGAGGGCTTTCCTGCCCCTCCCGCGGAGGATGAGGTCCCTTTCTACCACCCCCCACTCCCCCGCGTGGCTCAAAGCAGCCCCCACGGGCGCTTCCCACGGGCGATTCGTTGCGCCTCCTAGCGGCGCGCTCGGGTACTGCGCGGCTTCTGTTCCTCCGGCGGGTGCGCTGCTGCCCCCTGGCGGCCGTCCGAGGCTGATGCCGGGTGGTTCCTCTCCTTTCTCCAGCTGGGCGGCTGTTTCCGAGGCTCGGCTGTGGATGCCGGAGGGCTGAATCTGGGGCAGAGATGGGGAGACCCCTCCCCAACCGCCACGCTGTTCATTGACTTGCGGACGGTAACCAGGTAAGGTGGGTAGGGGGCTTCCTCCACTCGCTCCCCTTGCAGGAGTCGCGCGGGGTTTGCTAGGATGCCGCGCAAGGATGCAACAACCGCGCCGTTGCGAGGCCGAGAACGGAGTTTGCGCAGGTCCCCCCGGTGGGGTCTCAGAACAGCTGGGGGGTGGGGAAGGGTCTCTCGGAGCTGGGGGGAAAGCCCCGCAGAAAGGGAGGGAGGATGGGATCTTTAAGAGATGGGGGGGAAGAGAGGGAAAGAGAGAGAGAGAGAAAAGGAGAGAAAGGGAGGGAGGGAGAAAAAAAGAAAGAAAGAGAAAGGGAGGGAGGGAGAGAAAAAGAAAAGAGGAGGGAGTGAAAGAGAGAAAATGGAGAGAGAGAGAGAAAATGAGAGAAAGGGGGAAAGGGAGGGAGAGAGGAAAAAGAAAGAGAAAGGGAGGAAGGAAGAGAAAGAGGAGAGCAAAGAGANCCCCCTCCCCAGTCTTCCTTCCTCCGTGATTCAAAACATTAAACACACTCTCGCGCACACCCCCTTCCCCGATTTTGTTCGGGGAGGTTCACACACACCCCACTCCAAAGGACCAAAAAACCCTGCACATTTTTATCTCGACGATTATTTCGGAAGGAAGAATCGCGCAAAAGCGTTCCAAGATTAAAACGCTCGGCGGGGGTTCTCCCTCTACGTTTTTTTAAATTTTTAGATTCGTTTTTTTCCCCCCCTCTCGTTCTTTCTCCTTTTTTTTTTTTAAAGGAAGATGGAGGAGGGGAGTCTCCAGAAGGTTGCCAAATTCACCGAGTGAATTACGGGAGCTGTCGTCCTAAAATGTCGAACGGCGGCATAACCATCTTCCGAATTTAACTTTTTGTGTGTGTTTCTGTCCTCCCCCCCCCAGCCCCCGCTGCAGGGGAATCACTGGAGGACCCACTCCTCCTCCGAGTATTTTTCCTGATCTGCCTTAGCCACATCAGCATCCAGCCCCGTCGTGTTGCACATTCCCATCGTTGGTGGAGTGACACAACCTGTGTGATTGTTCTCTGCAACCCTGTGAAAGACAACCCAACATCCCCCCCCCCAAGCTAAGTCTGGGAAAGGGCATTGCCACTCCTCTTCAGTGGAGGGGGGGGACCCTTTTGGATCAACCAGTCCCTTCCCCCCCAAACCTCTTGCGGTGATCCAGGGCCCGCACAGCTCCACCGTGGAGTTCCCTGGACAGTACACTGCAGAATTCCTCGCGTAGAATCCGACCCAGGGGAGTTGTGATTCACGCACCCGGACCGCAACCTTTGAACCCGTGTGCCACCTGTAGAATTGGGAAACCAGGGTGCTGGGGGTGTGCATCACACCTGTCCTCCCACCCCCACCCCTCTTCTGCACAGCGGCTGGCTCCCGGGACCTTATAAGACAGTGGAAAAATCCCCACACGAAAAATGATATTGTTTCCACGACGCTCCTCTTTTGGCCGCGCTCCAGCACGGCAGGGTTTGAGTGCACACGCAGATTGGATGTGCGCGCGGCCCTCCCTGTTTTGCGGCTGCAGCCGAGTCACGCCACGCCACGCACATTTCTGCCCATCCTTTCCCTCTCCCCCACCCCGCAACACTGAGACCTGTTTCCCCCCCTCCTCTCCTTTTCTGCCACACACACACACACACTTGGCTCGCCTCGCCAGCCCTTCGTGCTTCTGACATCCGATGCATTCCGTGGCTGACAGCAAGCCGCGCTGTGCTGTGCTGCAGGGAGATTCTCGCGCACATTTCCCATCCTGTGCAGCAGGCGCACGGCTCCTTCTGCGCGCTTCCCCTTCCCCCTTGAAGGGTGGGCTACCCAGGGCTGGCATTTTGGAATACGTTAGGGTACTGCCCTTCTCCAATTTTCTCCTGGGATTATTATTATTTTTTTGGAGGGGGGCATAACGCTTGCTTGCAGATCTGGTGTGCAGAGGCCTACAGCTAGCAAGGCAGCAGCATACTACTACTCTGCACGAGGAGGCAGGGGTCCTCCGCGACCACTGTGGGTTTTTGAGTGGGGGCGCCCCACATTCCCAGCACTGCACCCCTCGATTGCATTCCTGAGATGGGGAGGGCAAGGGTGATGGGGCCGGGCGGAGCGAGAGTATGCGCCAAAGGTATTTGGATCCCTCCTCCTCGCCCAGGGCAGGAGGCTCTGGATTCCGGGGAGGGGGAGGGATGACATTGGGGGAGGGGGGGGCAGAAGGGGGAAGTCGCTGACATGTACATAGTGGTCGTCTCTCTCCGATCTTTTGCACTTTGTCACTGGGGGTGTGGTGGGGAGCCTCTCCGGTGATCGTTGACCGTTTGCTACTGAATGTAACTCGTCTTTTATTTTGTTATTTTTTAGAAAGCACCTCTAGCTAGTTTTATGGCACTTTAGATATTTTACCGAAAACTGTTTAAGGAAACTTACAGAAAAGCAAAAAAAAAAAAAAAAATGATGATGATAATAATAATAAATAAATAAAAATTAAAAATAGGAGGCAGGAAAGTCGAGAGGACAACCAAATCGAGAGTAAGGCGAGAGAGAGAGAGAGAGGGTGGAGCGCGAGAAAGCGGGAGAAGGCAGCCGTTCCAAAATCACGTCGGTCGTCGTCACGAGGACAAATCATCGTTCGTTTGGTTTTTTTCCCCCCTGCCGCTTTCGTCCCCCTCCCCCCTCCGCCCCCAGTCTCTGTTTCAAATTGTGACCGTGTGAGGATTCCGTTAGACAAATTATCGTATTTATCTTGCTGCATCTCTGTGTGTAATTCAAATAACTTCTTCAGAATAAAACAACAATTATATGTTGACGAGGACAGACCCTCTTCGGGAAGCGTGACCGACCGCCACCGTTTTCTGACTGGGAGACATCCAGAGACAGGAGGGGACTACACAACCCATGTGGGCAGGGAGGGGGGGATGTGCAAAGGAGGGTGGGTTGTGCAAAGGAGGGTGGGAGGAGGGCGAGGAGAAAGGCTGTGGGGGTCCTGAGTGCTCTCTGAGCTGGGTGGTTTTGAGGGAGGCGTTGCGGGACCCAATTACAGAAGGTTGTTGGCGCTGGTTAATCCCGCTGCCTTCTAGCACTGATGATGTTAGCTAGGTGGGTCGTGAAACGTCTGCAAGAAAACCACCAAGTTCAGAGAGCATCAAGGACCCCACAGTTCCTCCCCCTACTTCTCCACAAACCTCACTCCCTTTTAGCACTGCTGATGTTAGCTAGATGGGTTGTGAAACGTCTGCGAGAAAACCACCAAGTTCAGAGAGCATCAAGGACCCCACAGTCCTCGTCGTCGTCCTCCTTTCTGCAAACCCCACTCCCTTCTAGCACTGATGATGTTAGCTAGATGGGTCGTGAAACGTCTGCAAGAAAACCACCCTGTTCAGAGAGCATCAAGGACCCCACAGTTCCTCCCCCTACTTCTCCACAAACCTCGCTCCCTTTTAGCACTGATGATGTTAGCTAGGTGGGTCGTGAAATGTCTTGAAGAAAGCCATCAAGTTCAGAGAGCATCAAGGACCCCACAGTTCTCCTCCTTCCTCCTCCTTTTCACAAACCCCACACCTTCCTAGCACTGTTAGTGTTACCTAGCTGGGTCACGAAACGTCTGNGGAAAAGTGAAAAAGAATGATAGAGAAAAAGAGAAAAAGAAAGAGAGAAAAGAGAAGGAGAGAAAGACAGAAAAAGAGTGGGAAAAGAAAAAGAGGGACAGAAAGAGAGAAAAAGAGATAGAGAGAAAAGAAAGATGGAGAGAGACAGAGAGATGGAAAGGAAAATGAAAAAGAATGATAGAGAAAAAGAAAAATAAAGAGAGAAAAGTGGAGAGAAAGACAGAAAAAGAGTGCGGAAAGAAAGAGAAAGACAGAAAAAGAGAAAGAGAGAAAAAGAGAAAGAGAGAAAAAGAGAAAGAGAGAAAAAGAGAGGGGGGGAGGAAGAAAAGTCATGGACAGTGACCACCCTTGCCCCCCCCCCAGCTGTGCCATGTCTTCCCCATCCAGGAGGGTCTTCCGCAAAGACCACCTCGATGGTTCCCCCCGCCCCGCTTGAGACCCTCCCTGTTCCTCCCCAACCAGTGCAGCTTCCTCCTTCGACTTCCGGACGTTCGACCCGGAAGGGGTCATCTTCTACGGGGACACCAGCCCGGGCGTCGACTGGTTCGTCCTCGCTTTGCGTCGGGGGAAACCCATCATGCAGATCCATAACACCCTCACCAACATCACCGTCTCCGGGGGGCACCGTCTCAATGACGGCCAATGGCATCGGGTAAGACGGGAGGGGTGCGTGGCTGGATGACAGGCGGTCCTCGACTTACGACCACAATCGAGACCAGCATTTCCATCACTAAGCGAGGAGGTCGTTAAGCGAGGGGCACCTCATTTTATTACCTGTTTGCCCCCGTCATGGAGCGAATCACCGCAGTCGTTGAGCGAATCATTCAATGAATCAAGTGGCCGTTAAGCAGATCCAGCTTCCCCCGTTAACTTTGCTTGTCAGATGGTCGCTACATGACCTCGGGACACTGAGACCGTCATAAATGTGAGTCCCTTGGCAAGTGTCTGAATTTAGATCACGTGACCCCGGGGAAGCCGCAACGGTCATAAGTGTGAAACACGGCTTTTTTCAGTGCCGTTGTCGCTTCGAACGGTCACTAAACCATCAGTTGTAAGTCCAAAACAATCCTTATATATTTGCTGCGTCTTGTGTCAGGGAGTTCCACAGGCTAACGAGGCATTGAAATGGAGCTGGTTGTAAGTTGAGGACTACCTATCAGCTAAAGGAGACCCCCCCTGCTCCCCTCTATGTTACCTACATCCTCCTGTGTGGAAGGGGGGGGGTGTCCCTCGATCCTTTCTGATCCCTCTTGTTCCTCTATCCCCGTACGGGAATTCTCTTGTGACTTCCGGACAGATCACGGTGAAGAACGAGGGACACTCCGTGATATTGCTGGTCGACGGGGATGACCAACTCACTCTCAGCCATGTCTCCCATCCGATCGTCAACCGGCCGACCCCTCAGATGCGCATCGGAGTAGGAGGCCTCTTCATCTTGCCGACCGAATTGCTGATCCCGGTAAGGCCAATCTCTCTCCTCGGCTGACCCAGCCCCAAGATCAAAAACAACCGCAACTCCTCCGCGGATTCCGTTTGACCTCGGTTTCATCGACCCCTCGTTTCTCTAAACCAGCGCATCTCGATCTTGGGAGGTTTTTAAGAAGTGTGGACTTCAACTCCCAGAATCCCCCAGTCAGGCATTCCAGTTCTGTTTTTTTTCCTCCTCCCTTTTTAAAGCAGAGAGATTGCAGAGAAAAGGACGGTAAGAGAGTCAGCAGGCCACAATTGGGTATACACCTCCAAACGAATGAGAGTTGAAATCCAAACTCCCAAGCTGAAGGAACACTATCATCTATCTATCTATCTATCTATCTATCTATCTATCTATCTATCTATCTATCTATCTATCTATCTATCTATCTAT